GATTATGTATATATAAATGAAAATTATATAAATATTATAATTTATTAAATAAATTAATTTAATATATTAATAATAAATAATATAATTTTAAATATTAATAAAATAAAATATTAATATATTAATATAAAATAAATTAATCAATATAAAATATTAAAACAATAAAATATTAATAATAAAATTAATTTAATATATAAGTTGTATAAGGATTATATATAAAGGAAGCATATACATTTTCTATTTCTAGAATACAATTCCTAAACTTATCTATTAGTATAAAAATAAAATAAGCTTTTTTGCGTTGGTCATCTGGTGTAAAATTTACGTAGTATATTTGTGGGTATTATATTGGACTGTGATGCAGTGTCCAGCTTAAATTTAATAATTGTAGTATCGTTTACCTTGATCTCTTATGTTCAGTCGAATATCACCGCATTTGTTTACAACGTGATACATTTGATAAATAAGTATAGGTAAGAAGATGAGTCATCACTTTCGTTAGGGCATATTTTCGACATATCTTGTGATTTAGAACGGCACATGCTAGCAAAATGATTGGGCTTATGGCCTTTTCTACATGTCCTTTCGTAAGCGGGATATTGTTTCGGTGGATGCTTTTTTTTTTCGCATTTACCACACGAAATGTGAGATTTTAGGATTGCTGTTCTGATATTCCGAGTTGTTAGCCATGATGGATCCGAGCATGTGAGCAACGACGAGGTCTTTGAGCGGTTACAAACAAAGAGAAGGCTTATACTTAACACCAGGAAGAAGAGGCGTCTGAAGTTTCTGGGACACATAATGAGGAAGGAGGGCCTTGAGAATCGGATACTCACGGGTCGAATAGAGCTAAAGAGTGACAAGGGACAACAACGCGTGACATACCTAACGAGCTTGGGCAGGTGGATGACAGAACATGGTCTAGGTAAGAAAGCAGAAGGAAGGAGCTTGCTGAGAGCTGCAAAGGACAGAGGGAGGTGGAGAACCATGATCGCCTACGTCCTGAAACGACATGGCACATAAAAAGAAAAAAAGTTCTGATATTGGGAGGGTGGATTTTTTTCAATTTTCCCGTTTTTTGTTTTTTTTCCTCGATCACTTATTCCGCATTACTACCGATATTGACATTTTTCTGTATATGTTTTTTTTTTATTATTATTATTTATTTAGATCGAGTTGATTTCACTTGTTCGGCATTTGTTCATTGCTGTTTTTAGCGTTAACTCAGAGTTCCGCAGTAGTAACTCCCGTGTATCTTTGTTTTGGATTCCATATATGACCCTGTCTTTGACTAAGTCATCCTGTCAGGATACTAAATTTACAATCATTAGTTTTTAGTATCATATTAGTCAGGAAGGATTCGGATTTTCTGAAAGTAACTTGTTTCTACTAAAAAATAAGTATCTGACGTACGTTATAGTATTTCTTGGTTGTCCCGGAATTTATTTTTTATATGTCGTATCTTTATCGCCCGGGTTTTCTAATTCAAACGAATTGAAAGTTTGTTGCGCTTGTAGTCCAGATACATGTAGGAATGCTGTAACTTATATTAAGTACTAGCAGTAGAGCCAGGCGTTGCCCGGGGATGTAACAGTAAGAGATAGATCAAGTATCGACCATCATAAAGACTGAAAAATAAAATTGACAAAGATTATTGTTTAAGGTTGACGGACACGCATGTCTTAATTAGTTTTTTTTTGTTTTTTTTTTTGGGGGGTACGAATTGGTCAAACCCAAACTCAAACAAAAACATTGTTTTCAATCGTTATGAGTCTATCGATTGAATAGAATTTTATTATAAACAATTGTCTTATAAATGGAATTTTTAAAGTGTTCTGAATGTATAGATAAAGAAAAAAGTATGCAAGACAATAAGAAACACTACCTGCCAAAAAAGTGAAGTTTTGTTGAAATCGGTTGAAAAATGTAGGAAATCCGATCCCATATATAAACGAACACATACACACAAACAACCTGGGTTGTATAATAAGTATAACTCGATATGAGTTTTCCCCCCTTTCATTCTGGCGACAGAATCGTGTTTTCAAATTGATTTCGTGCAGAAACAATTGTGTTTTTCCCATTTTGGGCGCTGTCAGAACCACCGCAAGAAAATTTTACGCAGTCCTGTGAAGTTTTGTTGAAATCGGTTAAAAAATGTAGGAAATCCAATCCAATATATAAACGTACACACACACACACAAAATCTGCGTTTTATAATAAGTAAGATTTCCCTATCACTCTAGCGAATAAAAATCGTATTGTTACCCCCATACTTCGTAATTTTCAAGTTTCCTTCGAAATTTAGGTTTCTCTTCATACAATGACTGCCGGGATGACAACACATGTTTAAAAAACCCTCGATGATAGGACTTGTGATATTACGGAGTGACTTACTCCCTTTTATAACATGAACCTTATCGCAATTGTAATGCAAAACACACACGCATAAATAGAATTGTATGAAATTGCCATACAATTTCCCATATTTTTTATTGTTATTATGGACGTTTGTTTGTACTGTTATTTCTCATGAACACAAGCCCAATTTTTATGACAGCATGGTGTGAGTGAATAACCCCCCACAATGTGCATGATTCTTCTAAAGTATGTGATCTACTCTAAAATAAAAATATGCGCAATTTTACTTAAGTAGCATACAGTAAATGAAGATTTTAAAAGAACTGAGTTGTAATGTTCCAAGTATTACAATCTCATCTAGAGTTTATTTGCTGGAAAATTATACGATCCAACGCCCCAAATTTAATTATTTAATTTCTGAATTATGTTCAAACTGGTTGCAGACAGTGATAGCATTAGTTAAAGTAATAATTTCCTTTAGTTTATCATATGATATTTGTTTAGTATATTTATTTAGGAATGCTGCAACTTACATTAACGCGTCTTTTCCTATCACTCTAGCGAATAAAAATCGTATTGTTGCTCGCATACTTTGTAATTTTCGTTCAAGTTTCCTTCGAAATTTAGGTTTTTTGATTGTTTCGAACTCATTCTTATTATTCTTTAATTTATGTTTACTCATTATTATTTCAGGTAATCCACGTGAGTATGTAGTTGATCTAAGAAGGTTGCGTGAATATTTAAGATTGTGCTGCAAATAAAATATGCAATATCCACAAACATAAATTATTTATAAGAAATGGCGAAATGGTAACGATATTCAATCACGACAAAAAAATACATGTTTGAAACAACAGATTAAATTTATATACACAATTTGCAATTTCTTTGTTTGTAATGATGTGTGCAAAGGTATATTTTAAAGAAAAAGTTTCTTTGCTGTTTCGGAAATATTCAATGTCTAAAAGTTGTCTGCCTTTGATTAAAAAAGGTTGACTTAGACTTGGATTTTTCTGTGAAAGATATTGAGTGAAAAAGTTTGTTGTGTAAATTTTTCTAATCTCTCATAAAGGAAGTTTGCTTCTTTGGCGGCACATAATTCCCGTGTGTATCTTTCGCGTGTGTGAATCTCAAATGCGACGAAAAATCGTTAGCTATTTCAGTTTATAGTTTTCTTAACACTGAAATCGGCTCCAACGGAGCTTGGTAGCTCTTGCGAATTTTTCTGAGAAATATGTGGTCGAATGTTGTATTTTTTATTTTTTAGCCAATAAGATTTCTTGAAACATTTAAATTAGGGATGAATTTGAGAAAGATTTTTTTTATGTCAGTTGAGCCTATTTTTGCACAAATTTTGACTGTTTTGTTAAGAAAATTTTTCGAAGCTTATTTTTTATTTAACAACCAATGAAATTCAAGAAAATGTTTGAAATTGAAATGAGGGTTACTAAATGTTGTTTTCGTACTACTACTATTAGCAATGCAACTTTGTTTTAAACAAAGGGATACTTCATTTGTTTTTTGTTTTTTTTTGTTGTTGTTTTTTGTGGGGGGAGTTTTTTTGCTGTCATTTCCAATGTGGGTCTGTATCAAAAAGAAGGTACCCAATAAGGGAGATGTACCAAAAGTATATCCGAATTCCAGAGATAAATTTCGTATTACCACCTTTTTACACAACTGCTGACAAACTTGAAACAGTGATGAGAAGAATAAGAGAGATATACAAAGAAATATCAGATTTTCTTTTCTCTTTTTTTGATTTGCCACAATGTCCCTTCAATGACTTTAGCATCTATTGAAATTGAAAAATATCCTTAGTTTTGTCAAAAGTTGCTTGTTTTGAAAGTTGATTGTTTTGAGCACTAATTCCTCAGTTGTGCTTCAGCAGTGTCACTCATATGTGCACATAAATTCAGTGCAGCAAACATGTAAAAACAATATTCAATCATACTGAACTTGATAAAATAATATGTAGAAGAGAATATTGAGTGTACCTTCGCAAATTTAGACATTGCCTTTCGTATATTTTTAACATTAATCGTCACAAATTGCAGTTGAAGTATATTAAAAATCCAATCAGAACCACCATGCAACAAGGCTGCCTTATCTCTACTAAGTATGGTGTAACACCTATACTGATCCCACTGGATCGATGTACTCTACAAGACCGGCCATTGGTCCTGTCCTAGTCCAGTATTAAGGGTTCAATGAAAGTCTCCGGTTCACAACGTCGATTCAATTCCACTTTCCAGTTACGTTTGATTTTTTTTTTTTTGATCCCGGAGAACAATTATCAAATCGTAGATACCGGAAGATTCAACTGGTCTATCTGCAAGTTCGTTGGGGCGAGAATCGGGCCAAGCAGAAAAATCAAATATGGACAAGTCGATTCGCGTCCAAAGAAAAATTTATGGATATGTATATAAGGAAGAAATTGGTACAAAAAGAATAATGCTTCTTTTACAAGCACTGTATATGAAATAAGGTACAGAAAAAAAAAAAAGACAGATATTGCAAATAATTCTGAAAGGAGAGAAGTAGTTTTCGGGTTCACCATTTTTGTTCTTAGTAGTCGCCGTAATTATTTCACTATCAGGATATAAGGTGGGGGGGTCATTGGCAGTATTGTGCCAATATTGCAGAAAACTTGAGTTCACTTCCTCTCTTATTACAACAGCAAGCGGACACTTTCACTCTTACTGCTACTCTCTCTCTCTCTCTCTCTCTCTCTCTCTCTCTCTCTCTCTGGTCGTCTGCTTGTCAACTCACATCACACAGCTCCAATTCCAACTTCGACTACAACTTCGACTGTTTGTGTTCGCACAAACACGCGTTTAATAAAAAGCAGTGGTATCGACAAAAACCCGGGGTGTTCGTAAACTTAGAATACACCCTGATTACTGACCTCTCCCCCTTCACGATTAAATGAACAGTCTCTTCTTCTCAATTGGTATTCCATAGTTCATATAAACACTATTGTTTTGACATTTTATATTAATAATTCTGACGAAGCACAGATTCTCTGGGCACAAACTTCGCCACAGATTATTTTTCTCATCTATAAACAAAATTCTATATTACTATAATTATTAATATTTCAATGGTGACCATTGCACTCTGCCACAATAGAAGCAAATGTGTTACGCAAGGCTAATTTTCAGAATTTTATCAAAGACTATTTAATTAAAAAAAAAGTAGAAAACCTCTCAAATATAAATAAAGCATAAGTATAAAGAATAAACATCATTTTGTAAGGTAATTCACCCCAAGCAAAGCCGGAGTGCCACTAGCACACAAGGGGTTGTAGAGGATTGAGAACCACAGTAAACAGACGTGTTTGAAGAAAGGATACAGGGAAGGACGGGGAACAAGCTCAGGGGGTCATATGTCGATTGACATTACATTTGAATATTTGAAGATTATAGTCATCGGGGAAGCAAGTAAGGGGAAGGGAGTTCCACTGACGGGAAGTGCGGGAGAAGAAGCTGTTTGAGAAGAAGAGACGTTTACACTTAACAATTTTGTCAGTGAAAGGGTGGGACCAAGATGCCAGCCTGGTAGCACGTTTAAATTCATGTAGTCCGGGAACTAACGAAAGTAGATTGGAGGGCATACCGAAAACAAAAGAAAATATAGTTTTATCCTTTTTTCGCATTTCGTGAGTACGAAGAATGTAGTAGATAGATTGGAGGGCATACCGAAAACAAAAGAAAATATATTTTATCTTGTTTTCTTATTTCGTGAGTACGAAGAAGGTAGTAGATAGATTGGAGGGCATACCGAAAACAAAAGAAAATATACTTTTATCTTGTTTTCGCATTTCGTAAGTACGAAGAAGGTAGTAGATAGATTGGAGGGCATACCGAAAACAAAAGAAAATGTACTTTTATCCTTTTTTCGCATTTCGTGAGTGCGAAGAAGGTAGTAGATAGATTGGAGGGCATGCCGAAAACAAAAGAAAATATACTTTTATTTTGTTTTCACATTTCGTGAGTACGAAGAAGGTAGTAGATAGATTGGAGGGCATACCGAAAACAAAAGAAAATATACTTTTATTTTGTTTTCGCATTTCGTGAGTACGAAGAAGGTAGTAGATAGATTGGAGGGCATACCGAAAACAAAAGAAAATATACTTTTATTTTGTTTTCGCATTTCGTGAGTACGAAGAAGGTAGTAGATAGATTGGAGGGCATACCGAAAACAAAAGAAAATATACTTTTATCTTGTTTTCGTGAATAAAGGACCTCACTAGAAAATAGCGCTGAAATCCATGTAGGCATCTGCTTAAAGGACGATGTGAGGGGAGTGCGATAACATTTGCTAGTCGGCCGGGTCTGGCATTGATTTGGACAAAGACCACCAAGCTAGTCACGGATAATAATTTTATGACTACAAGTAGGTGTACTACCTTGTGATCAAAACAAACACAACGTGATACAGGGAGAGACTTGGTTCGAAGTGACCAACTTCACGGTTAGCCGCAATATTCAATCACAGATACACCGGTTACCGAGGACGTGCCGGCGTTGTCATGTAAGCGCAGGGGCCAGGACGTCCCGCAGCGTTATATCCCTACGAAATCTGAAGCAGTCAACTACTGTTTGTTTCGAATAACTGTAGTCATTATGAACCCCGTTTTATGGCACCGATTCTAAACTTTTACCAAATTTTATTTTTATGAGATTTGAGGCATTTTCCTATGTATCCACATTTTTTGGCAACAGTTTGACGGTACTTACATTAAGGAATCGTTCTACAATTATAACTTGCTCCGATCCAAGTCTTCACCTCTTACCTGGCAAGTTTTGAGAGTAATAGAATATATTATAGGTACCACCAAAATGTATGCTTCTTTCCAAAATGAAAGCAAAAAAATCGCTACTCCTAAAAGAAATTGCAAAAATCAGCGATTATCCGATTCTAAAGAAATTTTCAAAACTTATTCATTAAAGAATTAATTGAACAGTGAATAGGTTATTTTATTAGAAAACTTGGCGGAAATGTCTCAACCCATCCTCCATTTCGATATCTAGTGGGTATATTTTAATTTAGGGTGTGAGGTTCGTGAAATTTTCTTTACTGTTACATAAAGAAAAATCTACAAATATTTTATTTCTGTAAAGAAGTTATGAAATATCAAGTGTGAATAGATATGAAAACTCCTCCCGAACCTTACGAAAATTAATTCAATGAAACTCAAAAATTATTTTTTTTAGAGTTAGTGTATAGTGGCATAAGGCATAGGGGTTAAAATGAAGAGTTGATTTAACCACACCAAGAAGATTAATGAAGGATGACAATGACGAGGAAATTCACGGATAATTTTAACAAAACAAGATAAAGAATTTATTCAAGAATCTACACGTGTCAGTAACTCGTTCCAGGAAAATAAATCAGCATTCTTAAATTCCGTAGTTTTTAATCTATTGTCATGAAGTTGGCATGTTCATACAACAGGTTAAATGACCTTACACAAAATAATATTCAAAGTTAAAAGAGTTCGTTAGGGGCCGATAATATAATTGGTGAGTAATTTTATACTGGTGAGTACTTCAACGCTTGTCCGCGAGGAACTGAAACGAAAGCTTTCACTTGTCTTCAAACACTCTTTTCTTTAATTTAATATTTCTCCTCATTTTATACCAAAAAGAATTTTGCGTAGACTATCTACTTTCTTTCCTTCTTTATCTATACTGATTGGTTAATTTCTGAGAAGGCTCGCGAATGTCTTTCGTTTTTCTTCCTCGGCTCACTGGTTAATTTCTGTGAAATTAAAAATCTCACGTAGGCTCGCGAATTTCTTTCCTTCTTCCTCTGTCGTCCAAATTTGAAGGGAATTATTATTATTTCGTACTCACTAAAGGTGCTTGCATAATTTAATTTAATATAATACGATATTTTCTTCCAGAGTGAATAGAAAAAATATGAACTTAATATTTTTTTAAAATGCTATGAAGATTTTCCGCGTACAGTTAAGTTCCACAAAGTCAAAAACGTTCACATTTGAAGAAGAGATGTAACACAATGACTTATTAAATTTGATGGGTTCAATGTACAGAAAAGGGTGTATGCACAATAGGTAACAAGAAGATTTGCAAATATAATTTATATTTGCGGGTCCTGTATTCCATTAACGCCGGAAAGGACGGCTCCAATAAACGTGTGGTCACTACGACATACAGTTGCAAAAGCGGAAGATTTCAGGATTGAGTTTACCGCTGGTCGAGTCACGTGTCACTCTTGGCTGGTTTCTCTTGCGGTCCGTTTTCTCTTCTGCCTCTGGGCTGTCTGTTCATATCACTTTATACGGGGGCCCAGATTACTGGCGCAAAGCTTGGTTTCAGCTCACACCAAGAATCCCTTTGTTTTGTTTTTTATTGTTCAAAATTCTTTTATTTTCCTGCGTTCCTTTCTTTTCCATTTTTTTTTTATAGCGGAAGTTATGCGTGGAGCCTCTCTTATTTTGGTAATTTTTAGTCACAATGGTTAGAGCAATGGACCAGAAAACTTCCACCGTTTTTCAGTCGTGTTCAGTCTTTTCTTCTTCCTTTTTTATTTGACGGTTGCCTTATGATTTGTTGAGAGAGAAGTATAGAAAGAGAATGGGAGAGAGATAGAGAGAGAGAGAAAGAGAAAGTGAGAGAGATGTGTTGTAAAAGAAAGCAAATGCTTTATTTTAATTTTAATTTTTTATATATATTTTATTTTACATTTGGCTTAACCACAATACTCCCCCCCCCAAAAGCAGAGCTAGTGAGTGGACTGAAATAACTAAAAATAGAAGGTCATTATTTTTCTTCTACTTAATTTTTCTCCCTACCTTATTTCACTATTATTATTATTATTATTATTATTTATGTACATTATGTTTTCTGCTTTGTATTCTGTAGAGCCGGGACCAAACTATGCTCCTTATGCCCTATAGAAGAATTGCTATTTAATTAATAGCACTTTTCTTAGTATATAGGATGTTCTTAGTAGGGCGATCTTCTGGCTAACCTGTATGTTGATGTTACCTGGGACACTGTTAGTAAAAGTGTCTATTCCTTTTCTCATGAGGTCCAGAGCTCCGATTACTATTAGTCTTCATTCCCCATATCCTGTTCATCTCGATCTCCAGGTCCTTATATTTGGACAATTTCTCGATTAATTTCATGGAATTGTTTCTCTGAGATGGTACTGCTATGTCAATAAGCATACAGTTCCTGAATTTCCTTTCTTTTATGATAATATCAGGTTTGTTGTCTTTTATTTCCCTTCCAGTTTGAATTGGTATACTCCAGAGGATAGTTACATCGTTATTTTGGGTAACTCTATCTGCTTGGTACTCATACCATCTCGCAGTGATTTCAATTGTGTGTTTCTTGCATATTTTTCAGTGCACATATGTCGCTAGTTTATTATGTATGTGGGTATATTCATTTATTGATAGTTCCGAACATCATGAGATAATATGGTCGACTGTTTCCTTGTCCTCCCAGTTTTTTGTAATTTTATTTGATCAATTTGTTTTGCTTTCTGTTTTACTCGTTTGGCGTACATGGTATTCGCTTGGTTTTTTTTTTTTTTTTTTGTTTCTTTTTTTTTGCAGTTGGTAGGATTTCAGAAATATTAAGCTGTTAAATATTAATGCAGCTTCTTTGTTGATGGAGTTAATTTGGTGTTCGACTATTTGTAGGAGAGAATCATTGGTTTTTGTGAGATATGCTTCCAATCTGATTGTTGTAGTATATTATTATTATTATTATTATTATTATTATTATCGACATTGTTGTTGACTGTTGTGCTATTTTTTTCGTCAGTTAAATACTCATTTTTGCTTGCTTTTTGTTTTACTT